GGAAGGGCCGGCGGCAGCGCCCGCCCCGCGCCCTCCCTCTCCCACCCCCGCCGGTCCTCGCTCCCCAGAAGTGGGTTTGGAGGAGCAAAAGGCTGAGGGTTGCGTGTCGCGTCCCCCCCCTTCCGCCGGCGGCCACCGCCACGGGCTCTTCTGGGAGTTGGGCTAAAGGTTTTCTGCCAGCCCAATGTTGTACCAAGCACCGAGCGTCTCCTCCGGTCGCAGATGGGTCAACCGGGAAGAAGCGGACCTGGCCCCATCCGTGCTGAGGCAGCGTGTGGCTCAGCCCTGGGGGTTTTCCCCCCAGGAAAGTGGGGTTTCCCAGAAAGTCTTCCCAGATGCCCGAAAGGCTGCCAAGTGGCGCGGCTCCAGGACCTCCTTCCAAAGACGGGTAACCCGAGCCGTCGTCCCGTGGTGCGCTTCGTGTCGTGGAAATGTCACACGGGCAGCGTTTTCTAGGCGATGTGCGGTCGCCGTAAGGAAAGGCTTTGCCTGGCACTGGGCCCCGGGGTCGCCTTCTGCATCCCCCGAGTTCTCCTTGTCCGAGAACGTGCAAATATTGCCAAGTACGCCAGGGAGAGAGGGGCTCCAGTGACCCCGCTTGCTCTACAAGGGTTACCTGTTAGCGGTACGCTATAAATACTATGTCCTGGAAAGAGGGACTGTTCATCTCTTCATAACATCTTTTAATAGCATTACAAATATAGGCAGTCTGAGGAGGTCAGCCAGATAGATGACTTTGACTTTGAGAATTATCAGGCCATGGAAATTACAAACGGGGTAGCAAGGAGGGAGGCGGAGCAGAGAATCGCCAAGGAGCGTAAAAAGGAGAGGACCTCGCAGCTGCGCCAAGCGGCATGGAAGTGATGCCCATTTTTATTTAGTTGTTCAACGACTAGAAACCTCGCCTGTGATGAAACTGGCCCCTTTCTGGTTTCAATATGTAGCTCCTTCATTTTAGGAGCAGCCAGCAATGAAGGGGGTTGCTCTGCTGTGGTAACAGCATGGTGCTCTCAGTTCTTGCTTGAAGAGGTGATTATGCTTTGCAAGGCTTTACGAAATATTAATTGATGGAGTGGATTACAGAGATAGAGTGTAAGACTCTCTAGCTGAAAGGCTAATTCACTTAGGATGAAGGAGACAAGTCTGCAGTCCTTGCCTCCGAGTCTACTTTATTATTTTACACTTCCCTCTCCTTTCCACTGAGCTATTTTACAGAAGGCATAAAATAGAACAGCTTCAGCTAGAAACAACAAAAACTTCCACACCCATGCACCAAAATATGCCAGAAATGAGAAGAAAATTCTGAGATAAGTCCGTCTGCTAGGATAATATGACCCTAAGTCAACACAGAAATTGCGTATTACAAAGCGTAGGCTCCTCACTGCAAAATTGCCAAGTAATGTATTTTTGTTAATTATATTGTACTAACCCAAGAAAACTGTTAATACCAGTTCCATAGCACCATTCGTTAGATTTCATTGCTGGTCGAAAGCTGGAAAAGTTAAGACAACCAGCCTGCTTCATCTTGTATAGAAGTGTGCATTCAGCACAGAAACATATTTCACAATTTCAAGCACCACAGAAATACTAATGCTGGAAGCGTCAAGTATGTTCTAAACCCAGAAAAAAACAGAGCGCGCTTATTTTGGTCTCAAAGACGTTTGTAGCAGGAAACAAATTACAGAGCCACTTTAGATGTCTTTTCAACAAGTTTAGACGTTTCTTCTAATCCCTTGCAGTACCTGTAAACACATACTGCTGATTTCATTAGCCACCAGCATATTCTTGCAGGTAAACACATTCCTAAGAGCTTTGCTAAGTAAAGGTGGATTTAAGCCTGTACTTATTCTTTGATGAATTAGGATATTAGCGTCCACTTACGTTTTTACTTTGAGCAACATAAATCCCTTACACATGCTATGGTTCAGAGAGAAAATACATTTTAATTCCCATGTGTGCAATCTGTTCCAAGAATGTGCCAGAAAATCTCATTGTTCAGGTTTTCAACCCAATACTATCACTAAAAAAACTTGTTTACCAGGTTTTCAATACCGATGCAAATGTGTCCTCTCTTTGTTTTGACAGGAGTCCTTCTTTCATTTCCCTAGGGGTCTATTGACCATTTGCGCTCCCTATAAGGAAATGCTGCACATGTTTATCTATATTCAAAACTGTATAAAACCTTTTTAATAAGCTTTCATTGAAATTCAAATTCTTTTCCTTTTAATGACAATGTTATTGCTATTATTTCTTACGAAGATAAGAGTCAAGGGTCACTTTGAAGTACTAGCCTGCTGTTAATAATTTAAGTGGATTATTGTTATATTCTAATCTCATAATAACTATCATTGTATTGCCCTACAATGAGCTCGTTTGCTTTTAGGGCTCTGGAAACAGATATCACTTTTACGCATTTTAAGTGAAAATGAAGGTATCGGTTTTTTTCAAAATGCCATACTGACATTTTAAAAAGAAGTTACATTCACCTTATTATATTTGCAGCATGTCATCCTCTGTGTCCATGATACTATTTCATCACAGTCTACAGGCAAAATTTGACACACATCTCTGAGACTTACTAAGTTAAAGAATAAGAAAACTGCGGAGGCCATTTTAAGGAAGCAATATTTTCTGTGGAAGTTATTTCCTTGAACAGATGGAGCTGGTACTAGTCAAGCATTTCCTGACAAAAAAAGTTTCTCATTTGATCACCCTGAAATGATTTTCTGGAAATGTATAACATGCATCAATATTTTTTTATGAAAAGCTCCCATAACATTTTGTCTCCGTAAGGTCACGATGCCAACATTTTTCCACTATTGTTTTGATTTTTCAGAGTAGTTTAGAAATGATAACGTCACAATGAAGTGTTCTGACCTTATCAAGTACTTCGAGGTTACTGGAATGCAGTATTTCAAACACAGTATCTCCATGAAAAGCTTTTTGGCATTCCTTAGTCTAATTTGGTTTTGGTGTGAGATAAATTTTTGACATTTCATTCTGATTTTGCAATGGAAATTCTGAATTGGGACTAGCTGCAAGGAAATGCATGAGATAATGAGCAAAACTAAAAGAGTGTCATTCTTTAAAAAAAGCAGGGGCTTTTCCTACGCTACCGCAAACTTCGAAATCCCTTATTCTCATTTTTGCAAAGCCAAACTTGTAGCGCTGCCTTGGATCATTAGGCCAGCCATATTTAATTTTGGAAAAAGAAAAAAAAAAAGTTTATTCTGAATTTACTTCTTTCACAATGCAGAGATTTGTTTAGTTTTGCCTTATAATGGTGGCTTGTTCTACTGCTGGCACTAATGTAACACCATACGCTGGTTCCACAGTACAAAACTGCTCAGAAATTCTCTGCCTTCACCATTTACGTATCATTGTGCTAATTGATTTTGAGTGAATGAATTCTGCAGAAATGAAAATTTCTCAGATACTTTTCTCTGCTGTTAGATCTTCTTCGGCGTCTTTGTTTCTAATATACCAGTAAGGCTGCCTGAGCAGTGGCCAGCACTGCCAGGCTTCAGGCAGAGGACTAATGTGTTGTGTCACAGAATTTAGGAAACCTTCATAAAATTCGGGCTAGCCTTTGGCAATAGCTTACCTGGTGAAGTGAGGGCAGGACCCTTGGTTAAAACATCCTCATTCGCTCCAGGGATTTTTTGAATACATTAGGTATAAAATTGCATTAGTGAAAAGCACACATAACTTATTGGCAGAATTACTATGCAGATGTCAGTCAGTGCCAAAACATGAAAATTCATGAGACTGAACAGTTAACTTAAAAAAAAAACCTACCATAACAGAATGTAGGCATATAGCTACTTGCACAGTAAAAAGGAAAGTGCCTGCCAGCATAAGCCACTGATAATCAATATTTAATGAAAATAAATAATCTATTAACCAGGCTAACATGTCATTTTGCACAGTAATATTGCAGTATCAGGCACTGAAATTACCTTGCCTCTGCACGATTCATTCAAATAATTTTGCTTCATGTAGACCGAGGTGGTGAGAGGCAGAGAAGACAGTGGAGGGTGGGGGAAGCAGCAAATGAAATGCATCCCTTTACTGGAAACTCTGGTTCTGATTGTAATATTTTGTCCCTAACAAAATTACTGTCAACACACTGAATGTTAAGATAGAAATAAATATATGCTGACTGAATCTGCAAGCAAAGTGAATCCAGGGTAACATTAGCTATTGAAAAACCCAACATTCATTTTGCTTGCTTTGTGTTTCTGTGACAGTTACAAGCATTTAAGCAACTTTTTCATCCTCACTCTCCTGAAGACATACATCAAGGGACCTTCCTGCATCTGCAGAACACGGCTGGAGGGATTAAGCGAGACTGAGTGGTGGGTCACAAGGTCACCATCCATCCTCCCTCTTCCTATAGGTAATTTATCAGAGTCTGCAGTGTATCAAAGCGCAGCTCTGGGACCGGCAGCTCGCTCTGATCTTTGGCTATGGCAGAGCTGGAGTGATACAGCCTGTGCAATTGCAGTTTCCCTGACTGCCTGTTTGATATTTCCTGTCTGAGCCAGCACAACAACATCAATCCCAGACTAGGTCCCAAAATATGCGACTGTAGCCTTTATCGAGCCGTGAGTAGGCAATGCAGCAGAGCCAAAGACTCAGACCTCCGCAACAGCTGAATTTGGATT